GTAAGGGGAGGGGTCCGTGGCAAGCCGCTGGGGGAACTCGACTCCGAAGATAATAGACAGGTCCGTGTTTAGCCAGACTTTGAATTGAGGTTAGAATTGGGAATCTTATTAGGGGGGGGGAGGGGGTCGTGCCTTCGCGTGCTTGTCGGGCAGCACCGCCTCCTCCTCCTCCTCCAGCTGCGCCGTCGCGAACGGGTTGCACAGCAGCGCTCGCTTGGCTTGGGGTGCGCGGGGCTCGCTGCGGTTGGTCGGGAGCCCGCCGCCCCGCCTCGCCTTGCTTTGCGACGCGGCGCGGCCCCCTCGCCCCTGCGCCTGGAGAGTGGCAGAGAGGAGGCGAGATTAGCCGAGACTGGCCGAGGGGAGCCGAGGGGAGCCGAGGGGAGCCGAGGGGAGCCGAGGGGAGCCGAGGGGAGCCGAGGGGAGCCGAGGGGAGCCGAGGGGAGCCGAGGGGAGCCGAGGGGAGCCGAGGGGAGCCGAGGGGAGCCGAGGTGAGCCGAGGGGAGCCGAGGTGAGCCGAGGGGAGCCGAGGGGAGCCGAGGGGAGCCATGGTGAGCCGAGGGGAGCCGAGGGGAGCAGAAGGGAGCAGGAGAGGGGGCAGGCGCGCCTCAGACACATTGGACCCCGGGAGACTCGAGCCTAGTGGGTGAGGCGTCCAGCATCGGGGGCGGGAAGACGGCACGGTGCGGGGTTTGCACGGGCGCGAGTACAAGGAATGCAGCGGAAGACGGCGGAGTACAGCGCAGCACGTGTCCTCCCGAGCGCCGGTTGGAGGACGAATGCAGTGTACAGGAATGCGTCCGCCCCTTCTAGGCTCTCGAGGTGTGGGGAGATATGGGGAGATCTGCCCCTTCTAGGCTCTCGAGGTGTGGGGAGATATGGGGAGATCTTCCCCTTCTAGGCTCTCGAGGTGTGGGGAGATATGGGGAGATCTTCCCCTTCTAGGCTCTCGAGGTGTGGGGAGACATGGGGAGATCTTCCCCTTCTAGGCTCTCGAGGTGTGGGGAGATATGGGGAGATCTTCCCCTTCTAGGCTCTCGAGGTGTGGGGAGATATGGGGAGATCTTCCCCTTCTAGGCTCTCGCGCCGCGGAGGGCGTCGCACGCGGCTATATCTCGGCTATATCTCGGCTATATCTCGGCTATATCTCGGCTATATCTCGGCTATATCTCGGCTATATCTCGGCTACATCTCGCGCCGCGGAGGGCTTCGCACATGCTGCAGCGACGCTCGCTCGAGGGGTTGCGGAACGTGCAAGCAGCGCACGCCTAAGGGGAGAGGGGCTCAGTCGGGGTTAGGGCTGAGCTGGCAGAGGGTTGCGGAGCGTGCACGCAGCGCGCACCCACTCTGCCTCCGCCTCCGCCTCCCCCTCCCCCGGGCCACGCCAGGCGCGCCTCTGCTGTGAGGAGCCGCTCGCCCGCCCCCTCGCGCCCTCCCCCTCCTCCCCCCCTGCCCCCTCGCCGCCCCACCCGCCCCCCTCGCCGCCCCACCCGCCCCCCTCGCCGCCCCACCCGCCCCCCTCGCCGCCCCACCCGCCCCCCTCGCCGCCCCACCCGCCGCCCGCGCAGCTCGCCGGCCAGTCGCCAGCGCCCGCCGCTGACGCCCCCCAGCCAGCCTCGCGAGGTCTCGAGCCGTCCTTCTCGCCCCCCTCGCCCCCCTCGCCCCCCTCGCCCCCCTCGCCCTCCCCACCGCCCTCCTCGTCCATCGACGGCCGCGGCGGAAGGCGGCCGTACCTGCAGGGGAGATATGGCGAGATATGGCGAGATATGGGGGAGACATGGGGAGATATGGCGAGATATGGCGAGATATGGGGGAGATATGGGGAGATATGGCGAGACATGGCGAGACATGGCGAGACATGGCGAGACAGGGGAGAGATGGGGGAGAGATGGGGGAGAGATGGGGGAGAGATAGGGGAGAGATAGGGGAGATCTGAAGAGATCTGGGGAGATCTGGGGAGATATGGCGAGCCATACCCGCCGCCCGCGAGCGGAGAAGGCGGCGGAGGCTCGCCCGCCGCGCCGCCCTCGCCGAAGAAGTCCTCGCCGAAGAAGCCATCCTCCTCCTGAGGAACACAACGACGCACTCCTTTAGTACGGACTGACTGACGTGCCCCCGGCCCGGACAGCTGCCGTCGTCCGCCTCGTCGCTAAACTGGCCCAAGCCCGCGCTGCCCTTGAGGGGGAGGCGGCGGCGGAGGCGGCGGCGGAGGCGGAGGCGGAGGCGGAGGCGGCCGCGCGTTGCCGCTGGTCCGCTCTCTCCTGCCTGCCCGTCTGCAGCAGTGAGTCCATCTCTTCGATAGTCTGGTCGACCACCCTGCAGGCCCAGATCGTGGGGAGATGTGGGGAGATGTGGGGGAGATGTGGGGAGAGGTGGGGAGAGATGGGGAGAGATGGGGAGAGATGGGGAGAGATGGGGAGAGATGGGGAGATGTGGGGAGAGATGGGGAGATGTGGGGAGGCGTGGGGAGGCGTGGGGAGGTGTGGGGAGATGTGGCGAGGTGGGGTGAGATGTGGGTGAGATGTGGGGAGTTATGTGGGGAGATATGGCGCGCCTCC